TATTTTTCTTATTCCCACCATATTTTTTCTAAAGAAAATAATCTCTAAAGAATTTGAAATTTTTAACTAATTTCGATGACTCATTTTTTGCTTTTGAATTAGTAAAATTTTACTAAATAAGTAAAAAACAAAAATTTACTAATGAATTAGTAAAATTTTACTAAATAGTAAAAAACAAAAATTTACTAATGAATTAGTAAAATTTAACAAATTCAAAAAAGTAAGTTTACTTAAATTAAAGAATATATATGGAAAAACAAATCTTCAGCGATATGTTTCACTAAAACAATGAAAGTTTTTGCTATTCTAGAGAAAGATTTTTTTTTCGTTTACTAACGTTTCTTTTTAACTAACCTATCTAACTTTAAGATTACAATGGAGCTTTTTTATTGAGCGTAAACGAATATAGCAAAAAGAATTTTAACGTTACACCGCGTACACTTTTTTTTTTTTGCTACTTAAAACAACATTGAGCATTCACGAAGAGGGAATTATTTGCCTCTTCTCAATATGCTATACTTTATGAACAATGGATTTTTAATGCTTTCCGGCCTGTGCGCACACACATAGTCCAAAGAAATAAATCGTTATGCCTTATGGCTTCAGTCTTAAAAGTATACGAAAGAAAAATTGAACCTTAAAAAAAGAAGAAGTATGCAAAAAAAATATAACTAAGAAAGATAAAGTCATTTTTCTACATAGAAAAAAAGTTTACCATTCTTCGATTTAATGTCAAAAAAATGACTTTTTCAATAATGTATTCCAAACTCAAAAAAATCACCAAAAACTTAAATAAACAATTTTAAAATATATACAAAAGGAAAACAAATACCTTCAGTTATTTAGAAGATATTCTCAAAAAAAAAAAAAAGAGAGACTATAAAATACTCTAAAGCTAAATCTTCAAGAAATCCTCTTTTAGTCTTTCAAAGTAGAAACTTTGAATAACTTATGAAACTTTCACATAAAATATTTACTGAAAATCCAATGATCCAGGTATGCATTCTACGAGTGTAACAAATTTTTAAATTTTTTAAATAAAAAAAATATTCGAAAATAAATTGTAAATGATTATGAATAAATTAGTTACACCTTTGAAAATATAGAAGAGAAAAAAAAAAAGAAAAATATTTTTGAAAAGGAAAATAGAGAAAAACTTTTTAACATAAGCTATATAAGTTCTCTAGAGAGCATTTTCTTTCTTGGTCACGAGAAACTAATACACCATTAAAAAGTGCATCGATCTTTTTTTTTTTTCTCCTCCCAAGAGACAATCATTTCCTCGATATCAAACGAAATACAGTGAATAAAATTCTACTTTATAGTCATATTCCTACCAACTTTGTGAGTTGGAGAGTTACATAAAAATCCATCAAAAAGAAACTTTATATAAAAAAAAAAGAAGAAAACATTCATGGAAAATATTAAATTCAAAATTTTTGTCATATATATACTTTTTGTAAAACAAAATAAAAGTCGCATTATGTATATATACGAGTTGACTATTATTTCAGAAAGATATAAAAAAAAAAATTTGCATTTTGAAATTAAAACAAAAAAAAGGCCCACTATACAAAAATCTAAAGTAAAACAATAAATTCAAAAATGGAAAATAATTCGAAAGATTTATCTTTTTGATTAAAAAATAAAAATTGCAACAGGCAAAAGTGGTTAATATTCAATTAGCACGTAAGCTTGCAGCAACCTTGCGACAAGATTGTCGCGCAATATTGCCAACCTTGCACGGCAAACTTGCCGCAAGCTTACTGCAAGCTTTAAATGTCCCACCTGACCCAAGCTTGCTCAGTAATCCTACCGAAAGATTGCAGTGTAAAGTTACAACAAGATTGCACAATAAGATTATCGCAAGATTGCACAGTAAGCTTGCAGGGTAAGCTTGTAGCAAGGTTGGTGCAAGGTTGCCAAATAACATTACCTTGAACCTAAAATTTTTTTTTAATGTTTCGTCTAATTTATACAATTTGATTATTTAAATTAGACGAAATATTAAAAAAAAAATTTTAGATTCAAAGTAATGTTATTTGGCTACCTTGCACCAACCTTGCTACAAGCTTACCATGCAAGCTTACTGAGAAATCTTGTGATAATCTTATTGTGCAATCTTGTAGTAATCTTACACTGCAATCTTTCGGTAGAATTACTGAGAAATCTTTCGGTAAACTTACCATGCAAGCTTGGGTCAGGTGTGACATTTAAAGCTTGCAGTAAGCTTGCGACAAGTTTGCCGTGCAAGGTTGGCAATATTGCGCGGCAAGCTTGCCGCAAGGTTGCTGCAAGTTTACGTGCTATCTGGGTTATAGTAAATAAGTCACAATTTTTTTTTTTTTATTAAGAAACAAAAAATACTGTATTCAGAATAGCGTTAAGCTGCGGAAACAACTAAAAATAAAAAAAGAAATAAGAACTTTGTTAACAAGATTCGCTTCCTTTTTTTTGCATACGAAAATACACAGGCAAATTTAAAACGACAAAATTACCAAAATTAAGTTTTTTTTTTTTTTTTAATTCCCTGGCATATTTAATTTGCATATAAAAGGGCGACGAAGGAATAACAGACTACATTTCCTGTTTTTCTTGTGTCTTTTTTTTCAACTACTTTTTCATTAAATTATAAGATATAATCATATTTGTAATATAAATTTGCTAAATTTTCGAAATAACGTTATTGTGTTCGTAATATTTATTTTTTGCAAAGAAAAAAAAACAATTTAAAGCAAAAAATTACAGTTGAAACAAATTCAAAATGCCAATTGTAAAAAATAAAAGATTATAAACAAAGTAGAACGAAGAAAGAAAAAAGAAAATCCTCTAATTCAATACAATAAATCCCTATTCGTTCTTTATCCACGATGGGGGCATTCTACATGAAGTGGACAACTACTCCAAAAATAGTAAAATTGACTATTTTTGTAGTAAAATTTACTGTTTCCGTTTTACTATTTCTGGAGTAAATTTTACTATTTTTGGAGTAAAAGTTTGCAAGAGATACGCAGAAACTTCAGACAGTTTCCGTTTTACTTCGAAAGTAGTAAAAATTACTTTTTCTTATTTTCCGTGTAGAAAAAGTTTATTGTAACAGCGAACTATTTGCTGTCACAGCAAATTACATTAGCTAATATAGGAACAGCGAACAAATTTTTCTCTATGGGGTAAAAATAATTTTGCTGTGACAGTAAATTTTTAAAAATGAAGACTGATATTATCACAGCAAACTTTTTCGTTGTCATAGCAAACTTTTTCGTTGTCATAGCAAAAAAAAAAAATTTAGCTGTGGTTACTAATATTGAAAAACAAAATAAATATCGGAATTGTTCGCTTCGCGTAAAATGCCCCATATATATGTAAGATTTTTTTTTTTTTTTTTCTTTCGACAAGCTTAGAAAAGTTTACAGTTGCCAGTAAATCCAGAGGATCTAGGCCTCTTTAACATTGCACCGAGATACGGAAATACGGTATATCTCTTGGACAGGATCCAGTGTGCCGAAGCTTGGGCTACTGGGGAGAGAGAGAGAGAGAGGTTAAAATGGCAAACCTAGTCGAGTTTGCTATTACTGATATTAGCGTCGCCAGTAACTCTTTCGAAATGGTCTTGGCACGCCCGGCTATTTTCAGTCTTTCTAGAATCCCTTCTTCAAATCCCCTGCTTTCGTACCTGCCATTCTTTGACAACACACTGATCCCAAACAATGAATTTCCACCCCCAATTTTGCCGCACACATTCAACCATCCTTTATCTATTTGTTCCAATTTTTTTTTTTCTAATTTGAAAATAAAATCAATTCAATTGAAAAAAATGCAAATATTTATTCTAAATGAAAAAAATAGAAAAATTAACCAAATTGAACAAAAAAAAAAAAAAACCGTAAACTGAAATTATAAATATATTCTTGGCGTCTATTTAAGAATATTTTATATTTAAATTCAGTATACATTATTCTTAAAGTATATGAATTTAAATATAAAATAAGAATAAATTCTTAATTTCAGTTTATGGTTTTTTCTATGAAAATATTTTTCATATAGTCAAAAATTTGAGGTTAAATAATATTTATTATTTAAAGTGAAACAGAGTGATAAAAAAAGAGAGCTCAATTTCTTTTTCATCGAGTTTCCAGATTTCAGTTGAAATTTTTCGTTAATTAAAAAAGCACAAAAAAAAAATGTTATCCGCGATATAAAAACAAAAAATATCCAATCAAAACAACTTTTTTCGGGAAATACAATTATTTTTGTTTTATATTGCCGAGCACAGTTAATATTTGAAAAATAATGAAAACAATATTAATATGGGATTATCAATTATAAATATAATAACTTGAAGAGAAAGACAGAGAGAGAGAGAAAATTCATTTCACTGTCAGAAAATACATAAACATAAATTAATATTAAACTAAAGCTGCATGAGGAAAATTAATGTTTATAGTATAATTAATTTGCATAATTATATATCTCAATTTATTAACTTTCTAATTAGCTGAATGAATAATAGTGATAATTTTTTCTTTTTTGCACATATCATCATTTTAATAAATAAATTAGGAAAAAAAAAAAGTTTTTAGGAAACCGGTTGTTTTTTTTCTAAATAATAAAGACATAATTTCAAAACTTGAATTTTAATTAAATTTTAATTAAAATATTTCATCGATAGACGCGTGCAAAGTTAGTTTACTATTTACGTTGAATGTTTAATACTAAAACTTTGGAAACTCAATGAAAAGTGGTTTCTCCAAATTTCATAAGTTAAATTAAATAGTTTGTGTTAAATAAAATTCAAAAGCAATTTTCATTATTTTTACACACACACACACCCTCTAAAAAAAAGTTAGCTAAAGAAATTTTTTAAACAATTTTTATCCAATTTTCAGAGGCACTTATATTTTATTTAGTAGTAGTATATTTCAAAGTAAAAATTGAGCATGAATGAATCTGTTTTTTTTTGTCGGGGAAATTGCCTTTAAAAAATTATTCAATCGTCTCACCTCAATCGATCGAAATTAAGCTTCCCTCTTATTTTTTTGTTCAGCCTTTGTTCTAAATTCTTCAAATGCACTCCGCAAAAGTCAACTTTAAACTCGTTTCTTTTTTTTCTTTAAGCTCCAGTAATTTTCCAAGTTCACTGATTCACCTTTCTCACATCACAATTTTATCACAAAAAAAAAAAAAAATAATTCTTATTTATTTTTTCTCTTAATAGAAACGAAAATTTTTTTTAATCAGTTTTTAGAAACATTTTCTGAGTTTATATTTTAAAAACAAAAAATCCTTCAATTTTGTTGAGAAATTTTTATATTTTACATCCTTTTCAGCGTAATTTATTAATGAAAAATTTCCCTGGTCCCGGAAGTGTTCAATGACAATTTATTTGTTATATTTTCTGAAACGTGATCAACACACCTACACACACTATATATATATATACGCAATGGTGTCAACGTTGGACAGGTTTAATTACACGTTCGAAATTCTATACAGGTACCATCGACGATCGATCGATTGGCCAAGTGCAATAACCAACTTGCTCTAAATATTACAAATACAAACAATGAGATATTTATACACTTTTCGAAAAACTAGAAACTTTGTTAAAGTTCCTTAAATTTTACGTAATTGATAAAAAAAACGGTAATAGAAACAATAGCAAAATTACACCCCTAAGAAAAATTTCTTGTAACTAATTAAGAAAAATTATTTATAAAATTAAACAAAGCACTGATGAAAAAAAAATTTCTACAATATTATATATGCACTGCAGATTTTATAATTTCCATCACTAATATGGTTATTGCAATTAATACAGATGAACATTTTTTTTTGATATTAAATTAAAAAAAATTGATTTCAATTTTCAAAAATAATTAATGAAATAAAAAAAAAAGCCGTTAGATGTCTTTGACCGGGTTTAATTGACCGGCGACGAAATATCTCGCACTTTGTCCCCAAAGGACATATACGCGGGGTCATGCGCTTTCGACGGGCGCCTTTCGTCGAATAACGAAAGCTCAGGTCCAAAGCTCTCAGTCTCCACCCCCCTCCTCCTGCAACCCTTGAAACCCTGGCGCGAGGTTAACCGAAATCGAACGAAATAACCCGAATGAGAAAAAGGAGAGAAAGGGATGATGCAGATAGATGAAAGAGGGTGGAATCACCCCTTCCGCATTTCCCTTCGTTACATCAATGAATTTCTTTAACGAATCTGCATCAAGGTTCATTGAGAGAATGAACGTGTGAAGAAAAAGGCATTTTTCACCTGAATATCCAATTTAAAGAAAAAAAGAAATTATACTGAGATTGGATATTTTAATTTTAAAATGACAAATGACAACTCAAATAAAAGTAGTGCGAGATTAAAAATAAGTGAGAATTTTATAAAGACAAGTGACAACTCTGTTAAACAAACAGTACACTCTAAATCTGAATCAGTGAAATTTTCACTGATTTGAAATTAGTGAAAATTTTACTGATGCAGATTTAGATCTGTATAAATCAGATCAGTATAAAATTTATCATAAAATTGAAAAAAGATGTTACATAAAAATAGTTTGTAAGACTTTCCAAAAAGCATATATGCAAAGTATTTTGATTTATTTGAAAATAATTGAAAATAGATTTTTCAAGGACGGTGTCGAGGTCACGGGGTCGGTGTCGTTTTTCGAAATTTGTTAACTTAATATAATAGAAGATGTTTCGTTTTAAATTAAAAAATGTTAAAATTATTAAGTTAAAAACATTTGATTTTAATGACACTTAAAATTAGACACAATATTATAGGTTACTAACTAAAAATTGAAAAAACAACAATAAACAATAAAAAATAATAATAAAAAATTGAAAAAATCAAAAAATTCTTAAAAAATTGCAAAATAACCCTTTTTCGGGATAAAATTTCAAAATAACCCTATTTCGGGTTAAAATTGAAAAAAGATGTTACATAAAAATAGTTTGTAAGATTTTCTAAAAGCATATATGCAAAGTATTTTGATTTATTTGAAAATAATTGAAAATAGATTTTTCAAGGACGGTGTCGAGGTCACGGGGTCGGTGTCGTTTTTCGAAATTTGTTAACTTAATATAATAGAAGATGTTTCGTTTTAAATTAAAAAATGTTAAAATTATTAAGTTAAAAACATTTGATTTTAATGACACTTAAAATTAGACACAATATTATAGGTTACTAACTAAAAATTGAAAAAACAACAATAAACAATAAAAAATAATAATAAAAAATTGAAAAAATCAAAAAATTTTTAAAAAATTGCAAAATAACCCTTTTTCGGGATAAAATTTCAAAATAACCCTTTTTCGGGTTAAAATTGAAAAATAACCCTATTTCGGGTTAAAATTGAAAAAAGATGTTACATAAAAATAGTTTGTAAGATTTTCTAAAAGCATATATGCAAAGTATTTTGATTTATTTGAAAATAATTGAAAATAGATTTTTCAAGGACGGTGTCGAGGTCACGGGGTCGGTGTCGTTTTTCGAAATTTGTTAACTTAATATAATAGAAGATTATTAAAAAAAAATTCCCCCTGCCCCTGGAAACAAAAGAATATTGTTCTAATTTCCTAATAGTGTATTAGTCTCTATATCGGTTTTGATATGGTCAGCCGACTACTCTACAGGGTCGCATTGACGCAGCAAATCAAAATGATCAAAGCTCATGTCCCGATTGAGTGACACTAGATTCTCTCAATTTGCCCCCCCTCCCCCAACACTAAACCTCAATTTGGATCTGTGACACTCTTGAGTAATTATACTCACACCACATGAATAATTGCAAATGGAAGACTATTTTAGCCTCATCTTAAATAAAAATACCCCCAAAAAAAAGAAGAAGGTAAAAATCATAAAAAAAATTACTGCCAAAAACTATTTAAACTTGTGTCTAAGAAAATAATCACTTAAAATTATTAAAATCAAAATAAAACTTTAAAAAAATTTCAAAAACTAGAATTTTTTTTTCAAACTTGGGAGAAAATGTATATAATACCCTTATATTATCTAGCGAGTTCTCGTGACCCAGGTCGTAAATATTTGACGAGTAGCTTCTGGTGTCGAGGCAACACTGCCTCTGATGAAACTGCACGTGAGAATGTACTCAAAATTTATACTCCTGCGAGTAAACATTTAGAGACAATATTCAAATTCCTGCTTCATAAAGTACATTTAGGAAATATGATCACAAGATCAAGTGAAAGATATATGTACTGTTATCTTTTTGCAAATATTCATTTCAAGAAATAATATGTCATTTGATAATCAAAAATCAGATTTTCACAATCAAGGAATTAATGGAATAGAAAAGTTGTTTTCTAGTGTTAAATATAACGGAGATAAATGAAAAAAAAAGAAATTAACTATAGACAAAATGAAAAGCGTTTCTTAATGCCAAAAAATCTATAAAAAAATAAGCATTTTACTTTCTAATATCCTAGCACAAGCGGCAAGTACTAAGCTAAAGTAAATGACCCATGGAATCGAGCCAAAACGGCCCACACTGATGATTGTAGAGACCCATCTCCCTTAGGAGATCCCATATTCTCTCACCACAAATATGTATTCCACAAATTATAGTTTCCATTATATCTCAGACATGCATTATCATCCCATTCATCAATTATTATTTGTATGTGTATGTAAAACTTTCTTTCAAAAAGTGAATATTAAAAGCTTTATTCAGCAAAAATTTCATATTTATATAAACCATATCCCAACAAAACTAATATACATATATATATAGTTCCAAATCTACAATATCAATTATTAACTTCCATTATAATTAACCGAAAAGCCAAGCCAAGATAAACACAAAACCAAATGTGTTTAGGAAACATTCGATCTCGATTACAAGGAAAAAAACTATTATTAAAATTATCCCTACAATGTAAAAGTTAAAATTACCATAGTTTGGAATTTAACAACACTGAAGAAAAGAGGAGGCACATGAAAATTTCCCAATTGACATATAACAGAATTGTCATTTAAACGAAACGCATATAACAGAACTGTCAGAAGTCCGAAATGACATATAACAGAATTGACAAATGTCCGACATAACAAATAACATAACTGTCAAATGTCCGAAACGCCATATAACAGAATTGACAAATGTCCGACATAACAAATAACATAACTGTCAAATGTCCGAAACGCCATATAACAGAATTGACAAATGTCCGACATAACAAATAACATAACTGTCAAATGTCCGAAACGCCATATAACAGAATTGACAAATGTCCGACATAACAAATAACATAACTGTCAAATGTCCGAAACGCCATATAACAGAATTGACAAATGTCCGACATAACAAATAACATAACTGTCAAATGTCCGAAACGCCATATAACAGAATTGACAAATGTCCGACATAACAAATAACATAACTGTTAAATGTCCGAAACGCCATATAACAGAATTGACAAATGTCCGACATAACAAATAACATAACTGTCAAATGTCCGAAACGCCATATAACAGAATTGACAAAAGTCCGACATAACAAATAACATAACTTTCAAATTTCCCAAACGCCATATAACAGAATTGACAAATGTCCGACATAACAAATAACATAACTGTTAAATGTCCGAAACGCCATATAACAGAATTGACAAATGTCCGAAATAACATATAACAGAATTGACAAATGTCCGACATAACAAATAACATAACTGTCAAATGTCCGAAACGCCATGTAACAGAATTGACAAATGTCCGACATAACAAATAAAATAACTGTCAAATGTCCGAAATGTCACATAGCAGAACTGTCATATAACAGAATTGACAAAAGTCCGACAAGACATATAACAGAATTGTCATTTAACCGACCTGACATGTAACAAAACTGTCATTTGACCGACTTTTTCGGGGCAAATTTCAATATTGATCAATTGCAATTTTAATAATAATTGTTAATTGTACAATTTTGAAATGCGTGCCGATAAATTCGGTCAAATGACAGTTCTGTTACATTTTAGATTGGTTAAATGACAATTCTGTTGTATGTCTTGTCGGACTTTTGTTGATTCTGTTATATGACGTGTCGGAAATTTGACATTTCTGCTATGTGACATTTCGGACATTTGACAGTTGTTATGTGTCATTTCGGACATTTGATAATTCTGTTTTATGTCATATCGGACATTAGTCATGAAAATTCCCCAATTGACATATATAACAGAATTGTCATTGAACCGACCTGACATGTAACAAAACTGTCATTTGACCGACTTTTTCGGCGCGAATTTCAGTATTGACCAATCGCAATTTTAATAATAATTTTTAATTGGCCAATTTTGAAATTCGTGCCGAAAAATTCGGTCAAATGACAGTTCTGTTACATGTGAGGTTGGTTAAATGACAATTCTGTTATATGTCTTATCGGACAAAAAAAAACAAACAAATAAAGTAACTTTTACTACTTTAAAAGTAAAACCTGAACTTGTAGTTTCTGCGCATTTCTGGCTTTTATTCTAAAAATAGTAAAATTTACTCTAAAAATAGTAAAATTTACTTCTGAAGTAGTAAAAGTAGTTGAAATTGTAAATTTTACTATTTCTGGAGTAAAAATTTCCAGAAACTTCGGACAGTTCAGTTTGCAGCTTTACCTATTTCTTTTTTACGCATAATATCTAAAATTCATCGTTAGAATCTACATTAAAATTTTCTTTGAGCCGAATTTTATTTTTTCAAATTATTATTTTTCAGAATACCAATTTTCTATATTACAGAATTTTTATATAACCGGAAAATCCATTTCACAAAATTTTTATACATGTTCAAAATTTCTACTATCGAAATTTTTATTTGTCCGAAATTGCAAATGTCCCAACAAACAATCGACAGAAAGATTTTGTCGCAATTTTTAAAAATAACCAATCACAATTATATATGGATAATTTTTGATTGGTTTAAAAATCGCAACAAAATCTTTCTGTCGATTGTTTGTTCGGACATTTGTAATTTCG